TGATAGGATGTGACATTGGGGCATGAATTTAGGATGCTTTAGTTATGAATTGTTATTTGTCGTTTGAGGAGACTTATTTTTAAGAGTTTTATATTCACCTTATATTTGTAAATTCTGGATCCCTTTCATTTTTCTTTAGAGACCTTGATAATTTTCTTTTAAGAGTAAAACTTTATTATTATTATTATTATTATTTCTATTTATTTCAAGACTTGTGAACCTATGAGTTTTTATTAAAATATGTGGACCCTTCTTGATGTTATATTTATTGAATTATTCTTATTGTTGTTACTTATTTATTATGGGGTAGAAGGGTGTCACAGGGATAGGCTGGGAGATAGGTGCTAGAGGCCACAGGAGGTGCCTGGAGATGAATATTTTTTGTAGGCTACCTTATAGTAGCATATTTTGTTGTATATAACTGGTTGTTGTTGGTTGCTTGATTAGCAACATGTGTTGTAAATATTTTATTATACTATTTTAGTATATATATTCTATTAGTGTGTAGTGTTATTTCATAGTGTGATGGCCACGGCGGGTCATTACAGTAACAACTATGTCACAATTATTTAGCGTACATCCTTATACTATTTTATCTTTAGACTTATACTCTAATAATCTAGTTCATTTCATGTATCAATAATGTAACCATTGCAGATTTTTTCACTAGCATGTGACTAGACCTTAACGACCACCACATCAATATACTAAATGACATTGATCATTATGGATGAATAATATGGAAATTGCATGTAATGTGATATCAGTTATGCTTATTTTCATCAAGGTTATTGATAATGAATAATGATTTGTGGCAACGAGTCAAAAATCTTTTATAAATATATGATGAATGATGTAATAGTTTATGGTAGACAAAAATAATATATATATATATATATATATATAAACATCAAAAAATAAATTAAAAATAGGAAAATAAATTAAAAGTAATAGAATATCAACTTAATTAGTTATATAAATATGAAAGCAATAATATCATAATTCATTAAAGCCCCTTAAAGTATTTATTAAAACACTACAAAAAAGTTGACAACAAGACATTTTACTAATATAATTTTAAGCATCTTTCTCATCCTCATAATTTCCCTCATCTTTCTCAATGTAACAAAATAGGAAATTAGGGATCAAACTAGACTCAACAGATGAAGGAGATGAACATCAGATGAAGAAGAAGAAAAAGAATAATAAAAGATGAAGAATAGAAACTCAAATTAAACAAAACAGATGAAGAATTGTTGAACATGTGAGGAAGAAGTAAAAAAAAAAGGAATAAAAAAATACTTGAAAAAAAATTTGTTTTAAACCTCACTACAAAATTTGTTAGAATTGTTAGTCGGAGTGAAGGGCCACTGCGCTTCAGATCACCGAGGTTGAACAAAGGTTCAAAGAACCCTAAGCAACAACAATGTCTCGAGTTAAGAACAACAACGTTCTAAGTTTGGGATAATAGCATTTAGGATTTTTCTTTTTAAAATTGCTTGACTCGAGTTAAAAACCCTAATTTTTTTTTAAATGTTATATTTGTCATGACCGTCATCTTTACAAAATGACAACCATGATAAGCGTCGTGATGAATATAGCAAACATTACCCTAAAACTTCAAATAACAGACGACAAATGACAATTTATTTGGAGATTGTTTCACTATTTCATTATAAAGAGGTATAACAATTATTTGATAACATTGTTAGAAAATATTTTTTTTTAAATGATAACATTGGTGGTGATACACATCACCCACTTAATGATAATGTTGGACCTCTTCAATTGGAAGAATTGACTCTTGAAAAACCAAAGTTTGAAAGTGTTTTTCTCTAGATGATGGTAATAAAGAAGAGAGAGATACAAATGATCTCAAAAAATAATTTTATAGTGATACTTTTGAGTCATAAGCTACTATATAGAATCAATACTTGTTTTAAGTTTTATCAAAGATGTTTTTATTGGCTTAGTTAACTTGATATTGGGTAAAAACTATATTTTTTTTATTATGACCACAAATATTATTTTGTAAATTATGATCATCATGAATTAATGAGAAAAAATTGATGTTTTTTTTTATTTACCAATGTTCTTCACCAATATAAGTTTTTCTATAAAATTTTATTAACTTATCCTAAACATGTTGTATCCTAAATTTCAAAAATAATTATCGTATTCTCGTATTTGTATTGTATCGTACCCATATCATAGTAAGGATATAAGCTTCATAAGCTTCAAGAGAACATATGTATTGAGTCCCAACAGGAACATGGTTAAAGAGAAGGCAAAGCACACATAGGGAATGAAAAAGCCAAGGAACCAACAAACATTAGTTTGACTGTACAAACTGCTGTTAGAGCCACCAAAAGGGATATTGTGAACAAAAGGTACCTCCAATTGCAGAAGCTCTCCAATTGAGCTCTCACTTCCTCAGTTTTGGTGTCAAATAGGTCAGCTCCAAAGGCAATGTTGCACGGTCTTAGGCCTACAGAGCCTACTGCAAACAATCAAAGATCCAAATGAAGAACAGCAAGGTGTGTGCCTGTGGGTTGTGTGCAATCAAAATGACTAGCACAGCTTGGAGGTCTCAAAGATGGTAGCAACTAGACACATGAATCCACATGCCCTGATGTGAAGGCAATCAAGGCATGTCTACAATTATTAAAGGCATGTCGCCAATTATTCATTGATGAGAAGATACGCCGAAGTAGAGCACAAAGAAGTGATTAAACCTGCTTCTATTTATGGAAGTACTAATCATGAGCTGCATGCTCTATTGATTGGTCCTATGATGGATATCTTTTTAGCTCATTAGGTTCAAGACTAATTCGACCCTAGTACTTTGATTGTCGTTGGTTATAAGAGATGTTGCACATGGCCAAGATTGAGTACGAATTCCCTGCTAAAGAGATTGTCCACATAACATATGACCGCAGAGTACCTAATCACTAAGTTAATCCATCAGATTCCATATGCTCTGTTTATGAATATATTTTGGCTTAAATTTTAAAGAACAAAATTATCATTAAGAATTTGAGATCCAAGGTTTGTTTGGTTGTTTCTAAAGAACAAAATTTTAAAGAACAAAATTTTTAAAGGTACGACGCCACACGTATTAATACGAGAAACAATTTTATTCAAATTGAGTAAGACTATTATTCTAAAGTATAATTTTTATTTTAGTACTTGTTTTTATTTTTAATCACCAAAATGTCATTTGGTTTCGTAATTTTAGAAGTTTGTTTAAGAAACAATGTAAACAATAAAAAAGTTGTTTTCACTTTTTCTACAAAAATCTCGAAAAATGGAAATGGAATAAAAACAGGGTGATAGTTTTGTTACTAGAAGTAAAAACAGAAAATATAAGTAGAAAGTACTTTCTTAAAACTAACGCTCTATCATTGCTAAATTGAATTTTCAGGAAAATTTCACGTGGCATCACCTGTTTGATTAAATGGGGGGAAAATGAAATCAGCGTTCTGATTGTTTGGTTGTGTTTACCAGAAATCAAGCTATGCCGCGAATGAGCCATGTTGAATTCTTCAAAATAAAATGCCAGACCCAAACAAATATAAGAACTCTTTAGTGGCTAATTATTCATTTAAAGGATTATAGTTATTAAATAAATCAGACACATGATAAATATAACTTCAATTCTCAAAAAAGAAGAAATAAATTAAACACTTAAAATTATTGAATCTATCATAAACCAAAACAAGTAACAGGGAAAGCAAGCCCGTTGAACGCGTTGTAAGGCATGGTGTTTGTACATTTCCAATTTTTGTCCTAGTTTTAGTTTGTCCACATGAGAGAGATGTTGGTTATCACCAAAAACGATTCTTGTCAATATGGTTAATTATGCAGCAATGGTAAATCATGTAAGAGACTATATATGAAACAAATGCTCGTACGTCTAAATTATTTCCTAATAACATTTATCATCCCAGAAGGAAAATCTATGTCAAACCATAAAACCTTAACCAAGGCATTAGCACAATTCAGCTTTCGGGCTCTATGCTTGAACTCTAAGAAAACTGATGGCTAGAAAATCACATCTACATGACTACAATACAGAACAAGACAAAGCAGTTATTGCACACCACTCCACCTAGCCCAGTCAACAAATTGCATGCCACCATAGACATTGTTGGCAAAACGCACACCAACTGTGAAAGCCAGAGCAACTGGGGGAACCTGCTTTGCCAGTGGTGATGCTTCTACCAAACGCTCCAGTCCGTTGACGATCTGGTACCGTGTGTTGGAAGAAACGGCTAGAAAGACACCTGCCCATGGAGGTTCAATGAACATATTACAAACAAGAACAAAATTCAAGTCTAAAGATGAAGTGATGCTCAAAAGTCAAAATAGCAGTAATAAATCTTGGGGATCCACATCAAATTCATTTTTAAGGAGTTGAAAACTCATTGATGGAAAGCGGCCATAATTGCGGCCTATTAGAGTTGATTGCCAACGTCTTGGAAAGGTCTGCGGCGGGACTGAACAAGGTTGAGTGGAGCATTATAGAGTCTATCAATTGAGACATCAACCCTTAGGGGCTTGAGATTCAACATTGACTAGAATTAAGGCTTAAATAGTGCGTATAGGGTTAGTGCAATCCTCACCAAACATGCGGATTTTGTAATGCTCTGTTAGGCCCTAAGCCCAAATTCTAATACACATTTCAAAAATATTATACAAACATTTTAGATGTCCTAAAATGATTAAATTTTATCCTCTAATTATATGAATATTGACAATAAAGGGCATTAAATTAGACCTCAGAACTCTATTCACAGTTATTGACTTGATAAAAAGCTTAAAATTGAGAAGACTTTCCAAATAATTAAATGAAAATAAAGGTACAGTCTTCTAATTTTATAGAAGAGATGAACTATACACCAAAACAAAAAAAAATAAAGAGATGAATTAGAAAACATGTAATATTTGTAAACAGAACAGCATCATACCCCAAAGAGCAGCACTCTTCACAAGTGGTGGCACAGGTATGTCCTCCTCTGATTTCTTTATGTTCCTGGTATACATACAGCAAGGACAGGTTAAAAAACTAAATACTCAGAAGAGTAAGGATTCAGATGCTGTGAAAGTGTAGTATAAAATATCATTTAGTATGAACATTTCTTATTTATTAGATATAATTTTGATACGCTATTAACAATTCAACATAGACAGTTTCTTTATCAGTAAATCATAGTGCCGCCTGTCTAAAAATGCTGATAAAATGTTTTTTGTCAAGTAAATGACTTTAGTTTCTAAAATGATATGACACTTTCACGTTAACTGGTTTCTAAGAGTTGTTACATGGAAATTGGATGGGATTTAAATCTGCATTTATATCAATCATGTATTGGAAAGAAAATAATTTGAACTGTCATTTATAACCCAAAAAATAAATAAAACTCCATGCTTTAATTATTTTTCAATCAAATTTTTATTTGTTAACTGAATCATCATTGTATTAGATGATCCACAAGGCCAACTGCTGATATATGATTAAGAAAGCCAAAAAGAAAATTTTAACATGTGGGGTATCAAATTATTAATGTTATCAAATAACTGTTGTGACGCTCCATAAAGGTATAATGTGGCATTTTTTGGACCCTTCTGCCACTCGCCACCCATTATTTCCTGTTGTATGGTGTTGTCCTCCATAACCATGGCTTTGTGGCAGTTTGTGACGCTCATGGTGGAACTTCCCCTCACCCTTTTTTTTCTTCTCGTCTTCTATCTTGTGAAGCTCCTAAGTTGCAGCCAAACAACTCCAGCGAGCCTTATCAGGCCACCACCATTGCTGGTGACCTGAACCATGGGAGACTGTTCCCTGTGTGACTGTTCTTGTTCTTCATCTGTTCCATGTTTTGTGCTCTGTTTTTTCAAAACTTTGGAATTTAGTTCTCTGGTTTTTAGTATTTCATAATCATGTGGTCTGTTATGTTGTTCTCTGCTTTCTTTATCGAATCTATAATGTTGTTCCCAATCCTTTTTCACTTGTCGGACAATGTCAAGCACCAAATATTAAAGTCATGCATCCTAAATCTCTTTTTTCTCTTAATTTTTACACATTTTTTTTTGTCCACCAGAAGCCGCCATGCTGTCCACCATATGTTTATGGCAGTTTTTAGCTCACTGCCATAGGCCATTATCCATTATTGATAACCTTGCAGGGTATAGAAGGGATCGGGGAAGGGTGTATGAACAGGGAATGTCCTGTGTCTACAATCAAGCAAATTATGTAAAACAAACTCCAGAGAAGAAACCATACCGCTTTGCAGTCATGATCAAATTTGCAATGCCTTGGCCTATAATACCACATGCAAATCCAACAGCTCCATACATTATACCCTGACATTAAAAATATGCATTAAAATCAATACTTGACAGAAACTTCCCATAATTTGTTTGAAAAATGAAATAATCTTCCTTTCAGTCATTACCTTGTAGAAATATGTTCCAAGTCTCTGCTGTACAGAAAACCTACATCCTGGCCTTTCTGCTTCAAATACACTGCATTAAGCAAGCAAAATAAAAACTTAGACGAAAGCTTATTCACATTCCAAAGACACAAAGCATTTAAGACATGAGAACCTTACTTCCATGTCCTTTTTAGATGGACAATTGCTATTTATATATACATATAAAGAATATAAAAAATTGTAATAACATAACCATGTTAATGGTATAATGAGTAACCTGCTAGGCAAGGCTGCATAAGCTTTCTGCATTCTACCCAGGAATCCACTAGATATTGATGGTTTACCTATTCGAGCATAGGGTGCCAACATGCCTACCAAAGCAACATTAACAACCAGCCCAACGAGAAGATCTGCTAGATACAACTCAAATTCGGCCCAAAAGTCTTTGCCTCTCTTTTGAACTTCAGCAAAAGTAGCACAACAAGTATCAATGACAATCTGCATATCATGTGAGAGAAAAATTATATAAATACTTTTCAAACATCCAAAATTATCCAACTATGATGACATTACATGAATATTTTCACAGATAGCAGACAGAACAGCAGTCTTAATTCTTTAATACTACCAGACTGCCAGTTATAGCTTATTCGATACAAGGGATGAAACACAACTTATTTCAACATATAGATACCTTGTTACATAGGAAAACTATTTCAATACCATAATTTCTTGAGTTCAAGATAAGGAAATCAGACCAAGGAGGTTCAACTATGTCCTAGGCTCCTAGCCTCTCAAATAAACAGCACATTAATATATAATAATTGTCAACAATTTGAACACTTAAGAGGTGCTTTGGAGGGATTACAATCTCTCACTTCAGCTTATTTTTGGGAAAAAAACTACATGCAAAAAATAGTTGTGTTTGGGACAACAGCTTAAATTTGTAAACAGACTTTTTCTAGAAAAATAAGTTGCTTTTGTGAAGCTGAAAATCTGAAGGTTATGATTATTTCTCAACATTTTTTTTCTTTTAAGGTAATTTACTACATAAAAACTGATTTTTTTGTTGTATCCAAACGGAATTAAACATCACAGAATCACTTTTCAGCCAACTTACCCAAACAAAATTTCATTTTGATTATAACAATAATCGATTATTCATATAATTGATCATTGAAATAATATAATTTTTACAGTTTTCCCAAACACACCCTTACCGTCATCTGTTATATTGGATAAGTCAAGACACAGCAGTCCCACTCCCACCATTAAATAATATAAACAATTGAACAGTAAAAACTACGATAACTATAAGACAAGCCCAACCAACCTCTGAGCCAATTTTGAAAAGAAATGCCGGATCAGCCAGCATTCGATTGCGAAGCATAGAGCATGTTTTCATGAAAAATCCTAGAGGCCAAAAGGATCCCTGCAATTAAAACATCACATATAACAACATTAAAGTCCAGGGTGATGGTCATATTGTTTCTCACTAGTCAGCATTCATAACCCATTGCAGAATCATAAGTCACAACTTTGAAAGAATGGAGGGAGGGACGTATGGACAATTAGAAACTGTACCTGCAGATCCAAATATCTAAGAAGAAGCATCTTGCGAATTCCCACACTCTTGGCAGCCTCTATCATATCTAAAGGAAGGGTAGCCCCGCGAGCCTCTGTCTCTCTCATTACTTCATCATATTTCAGTATTGGCCCAAACTCCTCCTCTTCATTGTCATTACTATCGTCATTACCACCACCATCACCCCCGCCACCATTGCCTGCTCCACCGCTTCCAAAGCTCCCATTACCACCACTACCATCCAATACAAATTCATTATTATCATTTCCATTACTTTTGGAGTCTGACTCGCTATCCCGAATCTCATGGTCCTTTCTCAGGACACTATCACCTCCCCCATCTGAAAATCCTATTGAAGTAACAGCAGATTGCGATTCAGCCGATGGCTGCGACATACTCATTACCAAAAACGTTTCTTTCTTTTCCAAAGGCACAAGTGATCTACCACAATTGCTCCCCCATAGAACTTGAAATGCAGATTCATTCAACACACCCTTGAAACTCAACCTAACCAAATTCGTCTCTTGACTCCCCAAAACAACTCCTTTCCTCACATTGGCAACACGGGCCACTACAAAATTTGAAGAACAACCCGCCATTATCCTAAAAACCTGAACTTTCTCTCACCCCAACACTACCCAGAAAAGTCGACTGATTTATTGTTTATCTCCACTGAGTAAACAATCAAAAGGATACCAAACAGATCACACCCCAAATCTGCAGGGCACACAGAATCAAACGAAACAATCACTAAACCAAACTAACGCATGCTTCTGGGAATGTAGTGAAAATCAATAACAAGGATCACTCAAGCAATGAACTTTTTTTGAAATAAAAGTAAGAAAGTCCACTCAAAGCAGAAAATTAAGTAAAAGTGCAATATTAAAAGAAAAAAAATAAAAAGAGAGAGACAGGGAGGGTAAGAAACCTACCTTGCTGAGAACAGGAAGAATGGTAGGGAGAAAACACGAAGTGGGTGGATGCGGCGAAGTGAGGGTAAGTACTTTGGCTTTAGTGATTTCCCTATCTGTGTTATTGTTGAAATTTCTTATTTATACTCTACAATCTACATGCATTTACAAAATACATTGGAGATTCATTTTGGAGAAGCAATAATTGCTAGCATTCTGCACGTGGGGTACCAACCTATCGTACGCGTGGATCGCGAGATATTTATTAAGGCATGTTTCACTGTGAAATTGTTGGTAGTGTGATAGTGCCACTGCCCACGACACAACAAAAATAATACTACATCAAAACATTTCTGGACCCGTGCCCAGCCACCCAATCCTTTATTCATGTCTTTTTGTGGCACAAAATAATCAATTCCTTTGTGTTAGGCTGAATTAAGGTAACGAAATAAGTATCATAACCAAAAATATTTATTATTATTTTATTACAGAAAAAATTATTATTGATAATAATAGGCTTAAATATTTCAATCCTTAATGATATTTTCAGACATAATGAGATTATTTAGCATTGTACGTAATCAATTTTTGTATTATATATGTTTTTAGTATGTATTATTAGAGAAATTTTTAGGGCAAACTTTTATGATAAATTTTGATTTATCATTTGGTATATATATTCATGTATTTGCGATGAATGAATGAAAATGACAGTTCTTTTCCAAATTAGAGTTCTTTAATCCTCATTTTTTTAGGTGTTAATTCAGTTTAGTCCGTAAGATTAAAAAAGTTATTTTAATCCCTTAAAGTAAATTTTATTAGTCAAATTGATTATTCAGTCAATTTTTATTTTTTGCACAATAATGTTAATTTGTTCTAACATATATGCTTTAGTGATACTCTCCTGTCTCATAATATCTGTCTCATTAAAATACAAAACAAAATATTATGTTAACTTTTTAATGTATCATATATATGCCCAAGTTGTTATTGATTTGTGTATTATTTCTTTTATATAACTTACAAAAATTGTATTTTAAAGACATTTATGTTTAATAAGTATTGCTAAATTATTAAATGTATAACATTTGTTTTGAAAGATTATTTTTTTTGTAAAAAAATTAACAAAAAGGTGGAGAATAAAAAAAATTAAACAAATGTACGTTATCATAATAATTTATAGTTTCTACTATGTAAAAGGATACTACTTTTTAGTTTCACTTTTATCAAGACTCAATTACTTTTGAACTTATTTACCTATATTCATTTAAAATATTTTTATTTTTATCCCTTTTATTATTATAAGTAGAGACTCTTTTATATGCAACATATTATTTTATCTAATAACAATTCTTATTGAATAATTTTTTTATCTCATCAAATAAAATCACCACTATTATCTTTTCAATACCTTCTATTATTTATAATTTTTTAAAAAAAATATGTAGAGACACAAAATGTTATTTTTTTATTCTTCACTTTTATGCTATATCTATATCTATAACATTAACAAAGGGATACTTTGATTTGGTATTCAATTATTTTTTTATTTCTTTATCCTTAAATATTTTTTAAATATTTGTCTAAATTTGTAATTATACATTTTTAACTAATACTTCTTTTTAGTAATTGCATGAAATTCTTTTATTGGGAGGGAAATCACTATTTTATTTTAAATTTTTTTTTATTTAAATATAATTTATATAGACACGAAGGACCTTTATCTCGCTAGTAATCTATAACATATAATAAGGGTGATTGTGTCATTTGGTGACACATTTTTTTTAGACAATTTCATCCTTAAATTTTAAAATAATAAAAAATAATATTAAAAATTAATCAAGATAAGATTCAAATTCAAGAACTTTAAGTTTTAAAATTAAATACAACACTAATTAATCTATCAAACATTAATAAGTTTTAAATATTTTTATTAAATAAAATATAAAGAAGAGAAGTGTTGTAACCCAATTAATAATTATATAAAGGAGATACATATAAGTTATAACTGCTTTTTCCTTTTCATATTTTCTTAGACAATTTTATTCTTAAATCCCTAAATGATAAAAATAATACTTGAAACTAACTACTAGTATAACCATTCAAATAAGTTAATTACTTATAAACATTCAAATTGTTAATCACCTTTTTTATTTAACCTCAAATTATTAATAGAGGCATAACATATCTCAATTCCACTAATGTATTTTATAAAAAAGATTATGATTATATAACTTTTTTTAGTTTTCACTTTTTTAACACCATTATACTTTCTATAATTATTTCATTTCTAATTTATACTTTTAATTTACATGATAATTCATATAGAGGATAGATTGCAATCATAGTGACAAAATACTTTTAACATGTAAACAATATATGCAAACCAAGTCTCACATACCAAAATAATGAAACAAATATTAAAATAGCAAAAAAAAAAAAAAAACTAATTGACTTTCCTTTCCTTCATTTGCTATGCATAACTATTTTATATCAACATGAAAGAGAATCTCCTAATATGCTTTTAAATATATGATGGTGACAACTTTTTCCTCCTAATATCCAAAGTTTTCTAGTGACTCGTGAGTGTCTTTTCTTACCTTTCTTTTCTTGTCGATGGTTTGTGCACTACTAGACTTAGGTTCACTGCTACCGCTCTTGTTTTTTATAGGATTTTTTTCTTCTCATTTATTTTGAAGGAAGAATATAAGTGAGAGGTATCTTTCACCACTCATTTACAATGCACCAGCTTTGTCCTCTTTGATTATAGTCACTCAACAACACACAAGCTAATGAAACGAAAAATTTTGATATACCTTTTATAATTTGGTGGCAGTAGTCTTGTTTCTCAAGTGATAAAATGAATGTGTTCTCATTGACACTATTTAGAAACAAAACTCAAATTAAGGAAGAAAGATAGGCAATAACACGAGGAGAGGAAACATTCAAATCAGTTAGTTTGACTCATTCTTGTATTAGCAAGGAAATGATCAGCCTTGTTAGCCTCTCACACTAGACTTCTTTTTCAAGACAAACACATGCGTTTTAGGACAAAAAGAAAATAATATAAAAATAAGTTTTTCAACATATAAGAAAGACCATGTCGGTCTCATTTGATGTGCATTTTTCCATTCATATGGGAGATGTCGCTTATTCAACCACATTTCATAATTTATTTTATGTATACTTTTTTAATAACTTGGTAAGTCACTACATTATTCAATTCAATTAACGCAATAGAGAACATAAAATCTCAACTAACTTATAATTATCATCCAAATAGATTTTAAATATTCATTCAACAGTTGTGTGTATTAGTATATATATATATACCAACATTTTAGCATGTGCAATGCACAAGTTAAATATTTATTATATATAACTAAAGTTTATAATAAGTTATATACAAATAAATATTATATTTAATATAAAAATCATATTTAAAATTTGATAAATAGATATTTAAATATAAATTATATTTTAAATTTATGATAAATAATTTATATTATAGAATAATATTAATTTTATTTATCGATAATTTATTTTTAAAATATTCAAAATTTAATTTATAAGTAATTATGATAAATAAAATTTGAATTAAATAAGAAGTAAAAAAATTCCTAAAAATCTTCTAATTAAAGAAAATTTAAAAAAAAATATTTTCAAACTAAATAAAAATATTTTCACACCAAATAAAGATTCGTGTTTAGTGTGTGTGTGTGTGAATATTCAAAATTTAATTTATAAGTAATTATGATAAATAAAATTTGAATTAAATAAGGAGTAAAAAAAATCCTAAAAATCCTCTAATTAAAGAAAATTTTGAAAAAAATATTTTCACACTAAATAAAAATATTTTCACACTAAATAAAGATTCGTGTTTAGTGTGTGTGTGTGTAAAATTTTAAAAAAATATTTTCACACTAAATAAAAATATTTTCACACTAAATAAAGATTCGTGTTTTGTGTGTGTGCCCATAACATGAAGGAAAAAAAAATAGTAGAAACAGAGAGGAATCTGACCTTAACTTGGAGCTGTAGGAACTTGACATAATCGATGATCTCATCCAGCATAGAGGCCTTGTCAGTCTGTGAATCCACATATTATAACATTCAATAACTTTATATTAAATGTTAATTTTGTCAATCCATTGAATTATAGCTTCATATCACCTTATATGTTTTTATCAAAATTTGTTAAAATTGAAAAGTAATTTAAAATTAATCAAAATGTTCATATTTTAATATATCTTGAAATAAATATATTACATCAATTTTGTTCTAAAAGTATAAATGTAACACCCAATTTTTCAAAATAGGTTATTATTATTATTATTATTATTATTATTATTATTTGGTATTTGGTCAGAATTATTTTTATAATTATAGACGAATATTATTTTGTACGTTTTAGATAATTATTATTTTGGATAATTATTTTATACGTATTAAGTAATTATTTTTATTAGCATTTTACATAATAATATATTTTAAGGGATAATTTAGGAGTTGATAAATTATATATTTTATTATAAAATCTAAAAGGTTATATGATATTTTAATATTGAAATTATATTATTATATTTTTGGTCAAAAAAATATTATTATTATAGAGGAAAAATATTTTATATAGTATATGTATTTATTTTATGTAATTATTTTGAGGAAAAACAGAAGCGGGTCGGAAGAGAAGGAAAATAGGTTGGGTTGACCCAGCCCAATGGATTATTTTAAGAAAGGGTCAAACAGAGTTAACCCTGTCTACCTCATTTGGGTTCTGAAAGGTTAGGAAAGAAAGAAAGAAGAAATAGAGAACTATGAGGAAGAGTAGGGATGGCAACGGGGCGAGTCGGGCACGAGTTTCATGATACTCGTCCCCATCCTCGCCAGTCAAACCCATCTCCCTCCCCGTACCCGTCAAGTATATGATTTTCATCCCCATCCCCATTCCCGTCGGGTATCGAGTATACCCGTACCCGTATCCGTCAATTTTTTTTTTTATTTTTTATTTTGTAAAAAAAAATGATATTTTTAAATTATTTTTTTATTATATTATAATTATAATTAGGTTATTTTTCTATCTCATATTATAATAAATAATCACACATAAAAAATATTAAAATTCTTTAATATAATTAAATTGAAAGTGAGTATTAAATTAAAAAT